TGTATTATACATGGAGATCATATCCCCCCTTATGTATTATACATGGTGATCATATCCCCCCCTTATGTATTATACATGGAGATCATATATCCCCCCTTATGTATTATACATGGAGATCATATCCCCCCTTATGTATTATACATGGAGATCATATCCCCCCTTATGTATTATACATGGAGATCATATCCCCCCTTATGTATTATAAATGGAGATCATATCCCCCCCTTATGTATTATACATGGAGATCATATCCCCCTTATGTATTATACATGGAGATCATATCCCCCCTTATGTATTATACATGGAGATCATATCCCCCCTTATGTATTATACATGGAGATCATATCCCCCCCTTATGTATTATACATGGAGATCATATCCCCCCTTATGTATTATACATGGAGATCATATCCCCCCTTATGTATTATACATGGAGATCATATCCCCCCTTATGTATTATACATGGAGATCATATCCCCCCTTATGTATTATACATGGAGATCATATCCCCCCTTATGTATTATACATGGAGATCATATCCCCCCTTATGTATTATACATGGAGATCATATCCCCCCTTATGTATTATACATGGAGATCATATCCCCCCCTTATGTATTATACATGGAGATCATATCCCCCCTTATGTATTATACATGGAGATCATATCCCCCCTTATGTATTATACATGGAGATCATATCCCCCCTTATGTATTATACATGGAGATCATATCCCCCCTTATGTATTATACATGGAGATCCATATCCCCCCTTATGTATTATACATGGAGATCATATCCCCCCTTATGTATTATACATGGAGATCATATCCCTCTTATGTATTATACATCGAGATCATATCCCCCTTATGTATTATACATGGAGATCATATCCCCCCTTATGTATTATACATGGAGATCATATCCCCCCTTATGTATTATACATGGAGATCATATCCCCCCTTATGTATTATACATCATATCCCCCCTTATGTATTATACATGGAGATCATATCCCCCCTTATGTATTATACATGGAGATCATATATCCCCCCTTATGTATTATACATGGAGATCATATCCCCCCTTATGTATTATACATGGAGATCATATCCCCCTTATGTATTATACATGGAGATCATATCCCCCCTTATGTATTATACATGGAGATCATATCCCCCTTATGTATTATACATGGAGATCATATCCCCCCTTATGTATTATACATGGTGATCATATCCCCCTTATGTATTATACATGGAGATCATATCCCCCCTTATGTATTATACATGGAGATCATATCCCCCCTTATGTATTATACATGGAGATCATATCCCCCCTTATGTATTATACATGGAGATCATATCCCCCCTTATGTATTATGCATGGAGATCATATCCCCCCTTATGTATTATACATGGTGATCATATCCCCCCTTATGTATTATACATGGAGATCATATCCCCCCTTATGTATTATACATGGAGATCATATCCCTCCTTATGTATTATACATGGAGATCATATCCCCCCTTATGTATTATACATGGAGATCATATCCCCCTTATGTATTATACATGGAGATCATATCCCCCCCCTTATGTATTATACATGGAGATCATATCCCCCTTATGTATTTATACATGGAGATCATATCCCCCTTTATGTATTATACATGGTGATCATATCCCCCTTATGTATTATACATGGAGATCATACCCCCCCTTATGTATTATACGTGGAGATCATATCCCCCCTTATGTATTATACATGGAGATCATATTCCCCTTATGTATTATACATGGAGATCATACCCCCCCCCCCCCTTATGTATTATACATGGTGATCATATCCCCCTTATGTATTATACATGGAGATCATATCCCCCCCTTATGTATTATACATGGAGATCATATCCCCCCCTTATGTATTATACATGGAGATCATATCCCCCCTTTATGTATTATACATGGAGATCATATCCCCCCTTATGTATTATACATGGAGATCATATCCCCCCCTTATGTATTATACATGGAGATCATATCCCCCTTATATATTATACATGGAGATCATATCCCCCCTTATGTATTATACATGGAGATCATACCCCCCCCCCCTTATGTATTATACATGATATACTTATGGAGATCATATCCCCCCCTTATGTATTATACATGGAGATCATATCCCCCCCTTATGTATTATACATGGAGATCATATCCCCCTCTTATATATTATACATGGAGATCATATCCCCCCTTATGTATTATACATGGAGATCATATCCCCCCTTATGTATTATACATGGAGATCATATCCCTCTTATATATTATACATGGAGATCATATCCCCCCTTATGTATTATACATGGAGATCATACCCCCCCTTATGTATTATACATGGAGATCATATCCCCCCCTTATGTATTATACATGGAGATCATACCCCCCCCCCTTATGTATTATACATGGAGATCATATTCCCCCCTTATGTAATTATACATGGAGATCATATCCCCCCTTATGTATTATACATGGAGATCATACCCCCCCCCTTATGTATTATACATGGAGATCATATCCCCCCTTATGTAATTATACATGGAGATCATATCCCCCTTATGTATTATACATGGAGATCATATCCCCCTCTTATGTATTATACATGGTGATCATATCCCTCTTATGTATTATACATGGAGATCATATCCCCCTTTATGTATTATACATGGAGATCATATCCCCCCCTTATGTATTATACATGGGGATCATATCCCCTCTTATGTATTATACATGGAGATCATATCCCCCCTTATGTATTATACATGGAGATCATATCCCCCCCTTATGTATTATACATGGAGATCATATCCCCCTTATGTATTATACATGGAGATCATATCCCCCCTTATGTTTTATACATGGAGATCATATCCCCCTTATGTATTATACATGGAGATCATATCCCCCTTATGTATTATCATATCATATCCCCCTTTATGTATTATACATGGAGATCATATCCCCCCTTATGTATTATACATGGAGATCATATCCCCCTTTATGTATTATACATGGAGATCATATCCCCCCTTATGTATTATACATGGAGATCATATCCCCCCTTATGTATTATACATGGAGATCATATCCCCCTTATGTATTATACATGAGATCATATCCCCCTTTATGTATTATACATGGAGATCATATCCCCCTTATGTATTATACATGGAGATCATATCCCCCTTATGTATTATACATGGAGATCATATCCCCCCTTATGTATTATACATGGAGATCATATCCCCCCTTATGTATTATACATGGAGATCATATCCCCCCTTATGTATTATACATGGAGATCATATCCCCCCTTATGTATTATACATGGAGATCATATCCCCCCTTATGTGTATTATACATGGTGATCATATCCCCCCTTTTGTATTATACATGGAGATCATATCCCCCCTTATGTATTATACATGGAGGTCATATCCCCCCTTATGTATTTTACATGGTGATCATATCCCCCCTTATGTATTTTACATGGAGGTCATATCCCCCCTTATGTATTATACATGGTGAGGTCATATCCCCCCTTATGTATTATACATGGAGATCATATCCCCCCTTATGTATTATACATGGAGATCATATCCCCCCCTTAATCTCCTCTTCTCAGTAGAGAATACATTCAGTTCCTCTAATCTTTCCTCATAGCTGATCTCCTCCATGCCTCTTATCAGTTTGGTTGCCCTTCTCTGTACTTTCTCCAGTTCCCCAAAGTTCTTTTTGTAAAGCCCAAAACTGAACTGCATATTCCAGATGAGGTCTTACTAATGATTTGTACCGGGGGGGGGGGGGGGGGGGGATGATATCTCTCTCTGGAGTCTATATCTATACCTTTCTTAATACAAGAGAGGATTTTGCTTGCTTCAGAAACCGCAGCTTGGCTTTTTGTATCACCACTTTTTTTGTGTCCTACAAAAGAAATAAACACGAGAACGCTGAAACATTTGCAATTTTCTGGGTGAAGTGGGGCATTTTCTGACAGAAGTGCAGTGGGACAATATTTTTGGCCATGACTGTATTGAGGACACCCAAGGCTTGAATTTTGGCAAATCCTGCAGGGACCATCTAAAATTCAAGCCTTCTATGGCCAGCCTTACCCCGCTTGATATTACCATCCTATTCCTGCCTCTGACTGATCAAATATATTTACAATTTCCACCAAGGGGCCTATTACTAGTGAGGTTGAACTCGATTAACTTTCGTTTTTTGTAGGAACGTGACATATAACTCTGCTCTGGGCGATGTCTCTGTTTTTGCCGTATTTCAACAAAGATGAATATAATGGCAGACTTTGTTAGAAATGTCAGAAAGTTATAAAGCCGTCAGTTAATCTTTAGCAAAGAAAGATGTTTCCTTTAAGGCATATTTTTTTTGCGGCAACCCGCCCTTTCTTAGTAATCTGTCTACTTTTATCCATTTTTCTTTTAAACCGCCCTTGGGCATTGCAACTTACCGCGTCGAAGTTTTGTAATAATGGAGGATGAAAAATGCGCAATTTTGGAAAAGAGATGTCCATAGGTCATTAGAGACGGTAAAATCTACATTAAAGCTGAACTCCAGGATCCCTGATATTTTGTACTCTTCTTTGATTCCCCCCATCCACAATGAAAACAATAATTGTATTGCCTTACATTTTGTGAAATTAAAGCAATATTAAACTTAAAAACAAACCTTTAATATATTGAAGCTTACCAATCCTCTTTTCTAGGTGGTGATCCAGCCAGTAACATGCTACCTGCCTTAGAGTGTCCCCACTCTGGATGCAGCAGCAATGGAGACACTTTTGGACAGTAGTATTGTCAGCCTGGGGAATGGCAGTGTTAGATGCTCTGGCAGATTTAGATGGTGATCAGTGGGAAGAATGTCTCTTACATTGGTGGTCAGAGGGAAGAATGCTCCTTACATTGGTGGTCAGTGGAAAGAATGCTCCTTGCATTGGGGGTCTGTGGGAAGAATGTTCCTTACATTGGTGGCCAGTGGGAAGAATGTCCCTTACATTGGGGTCATTGGGAAGAATGTCCCTCACATTGGTGATCAGTGGGAAAGAATGTTCCCTACATTGGGGGTCTGTGGGAAGAATGTTCCCTACATGGGGGGTCAGTGGGAAGAATGTCCTCTTACATTGGGGGTCAGTGGGAAGAATGTCTCTTACATTTGTGGTAAGTGGAAGAATGCCCCTTACATTGGTGATCAGTGGGAAGAATGTCTCTTACATTGGGTGGTAAGTGGGAAGAATGCCCCTTACATGGCGATCAGTGTGAAGAATGTCCTTACATTGGTGGTCAGTGGGAAGAATGTCCCTTACATTGGTGGTCAGTGGGAAGAATGTCCCTTACATTGGTGGTAAGTGGGAAGAATGTCCCTTACATTGGTGATCAGTGGGAAGAATGTCCCTTACATTGGTGATCAGTGGGAAGAATGTCTCTTACATTTGTGGTAAGTGGGAAGAATGCCCCTTACATTGGCGATCAGTGGGAAGAATGTCCCTTACATTGGTGATCAGTGGGAAGAATGTCCCTTACATTGGGGGTCAGTGAGAAGAATGTCCCTTACATTGGGGTCAGTGGGAAGAATGCCCCTTACATTGGGGGTCAGTGGGAAGAATGTCCCTTACATTGGTGATCAGTGGGAAGAATGTCCCTTACATTGGGGTAAGTGGGAAGAATGCCCCTTACATTGGTGGTCAGTGGGAAGAATGTCCCTTACATTGGGGGTCAGTGGGAAGAATGTCCTTACATTGGTTGGTCAGTGGGAAGAATGTCCCTTACATGGGGGGTCAGTGGGAAGAATGTTCCTTACATTGTTGGTCAGTGGGAAGAATGCCCCTTAAATTGGCGATCAGTGGGAAGAATGTCTCTTACATTGGTGGCCAGCGGGAGAAGGAGGAGGACACACTGAAGGAGCTCTCCCTGAGAACCAGCGTTTTCAAGCCTGGGCCTTGCCTGCTAGCTTGGCCCAGGAACCATGCGTGATCCAGGTAGAGGCCCTGTGAGGGATTCCCCTGATGAGACCGGGCCTAGTGAGGAGGAGGAGGTGGAGGACCTGACTATGGGTCCGGGCACTGGTGAGGATGTGGATTTCTTCATACAAAAGAGGAATGTGGGGAGCTATGCCTCTGTGTTGGGGAGTCGCACCAAGGGGGGTGAAGGGAGTGTTGGGAATGTTAATGGTCACAATTTGGGGTGGTTTGGTGGTGGGGTGGTTTGGTGGTGGGATGGTTGGTGGGGTCAGGAGGAGGAATGTGGTACAGTTGAAGTGGGAGGAGGAAGGAAACCCACCAGTAAGGGGGAGGGTGGCTGAGTTGATTTTGGAAATGGGGGTTAAAGCCTGTGATGTGTTTGCGTTGATCTGCCCAGTCGGCAGTTATTAATTCGATTTGTCATTTGTAAAACCTGAAGGCCTGGACCTGTTTTGGGAGAGATATAAGAAGTGCAGGTGCCTTCAGCAGTGGAGAGGTTTGGTGGCAAAGGTGCTTTCAAGGCAGCCTTTGATCAAATCGGTGACAATCCTGGTCTGGAATGAATCCATACCAGAGGCTGATTTGGTAGTGTGGCTACGCCGATATGGTGAGGTTCTCACCCCACTGAGGAAGGTCCTGGATGAACATGGGATATGGACAGCGGCCTGGACAGTGTCGGTGCAATTGAGGTTGCTGGGAAATGTGGTTCAGCATCTTCCCTGCTCAGCTTTTCTGGGGAGGGATAGGCTGACCATTTTCTATCAAGGTCAGCCTAAGGTTTGTAGCAACTGTTGATAGAAAGGCCACTTTGCATCGTCCTGCACCATCAAGAAGTGCTCACTGTGCCAGGATTTAGGCCATTTGGCCAAAGAATGCACTGAGATTCGGTGTAATTTGTGCAGCAGCAGATGGGTCATCCATACAGTCTGTGCCCAGAGGCACTACACAACCTGCCAGGACTGGAGGCTGAGCTGCAGAGGCTGGATAAAGAAGATGAGGCAGCTGATGCTAGGGAGGAAACTGTTGTTGCCCCTCCTGTATCTGTTCCGTCCGTTGTGTCAGATTGTGTTCCCCCAGTAATGTCACCCCTGAGTCTGTCCCTCCTGTTCCTACGGTACGTAGATCCTCCAGACTAGCGGAAGCTGCTGGGGGGGCTGGTTTAGCGGATCTTCCCTCTCAGCCTATTCCACCCCCGGTACCTGTCCCCCAACAGCGCAAATGTGGTCAGCAGGGTGTGGGGGTGCTGGATGGGGGTGGAGCCGATGTGACTCAGGGAGGGGTGTCCATGTCCCATGTCTCACCTCCTGCTGGGGGGGGATTCGGCTGATGAGGGATGGGAGAAGGTGAAGAAAAAGAAGAACAGGAGGATGAGAAGAGCTGTCCTTTCTTCTTCAGAATCAGACCCAGAAGGGATCCCTCCTGGCAACACCTATTCAGTTTTGTCAGGTGATGAGATGGTATCTGATATATCCATTTCTTTATCATCTATGCATGAGGGGGAGTCACGTACTCTGAAGAGAGCTGTTTCGGGTGATGAGAGTGTGGTAGAGGTTAAGAAACAACTACCCCAATCATCCTGATGGCAGTTCCCACTCTGTTAAAGGTGGCGACCATTAATGTCGCCAGCATTAAATCTGCAAGAGCTCGTGATACGGCCTTATTTTTGCTCAGCGAGTTTGATGCTGAGATTTTATTTTTGCAAGAGACCTGGCTCAATACTTTGGCCGATGTCTAGCAAAAAGGGAGTGGAGATGTGGTCCCTCCTTTTGGTCTCTTGCGGCTGAACCTTGCAGCGTAGTTGCGGTCCTTTTTTAAAACCGATGTAGTAACGTGCCGGCGGGTAATTGAGGTAGAAATGGGGAGATGCATGGTCTTAGACGTCTCTGTTAGGGGGCAGGACCTGCGCCTGATCAATATCTATGGACCACAGTCAAAATGGAACAAGAAATGCCTCCTCACAAAGATCAAGCCCTTCCTTTTTACGTCCCAGCAGGTTGTCTTTGGAGGTGACTTTAACACCATAATTAGGCCTGAAGACAGGAGAGGCTCCATAGACAGGCTGGGTTATGATAGCGTTTTTTCTCAGAGATTTGGTTAGACAGGCAGGCCTGGTAGATGTGCACATTAAGCACTGCCCTGGCAGCACGGGGTTCACATTTCAGAGAGGGAATAGTCAGAGCAGGATAGACAGGTTTTTTTTAAAGGAGAACTCTGCTTTCTCAGCTCCTGAGTTGAAGGCGGTGGAGTTCTCTAACCACTGTATGCTGTCTGTGACTCTGAATGCCTCGGACACTCCACCCAGGGGAAGGGGTTTCTGGAAACTGAATTCGGCTCTCCTGGAAGATGTAGAGCTAAGACAATCCTTTGAGGATTTTTTTCAGGCACAGGTTTCTATTCTGGACTTTTGCAGCAGTAAGTCAGAGTGGTGGGAGCTTGTGAAACAAAGGGCGATTGGACTTTTCAAGGCCATAAGTAAGAAGAAGCAGCTTGGTATGTATATTGCCTACCAGCATTTGCAGAGGAAGCTTGATCGTCTTGTCTCGTATGGAGGAGATCCAGGGGAGATCTCTGAAGTGAAGCTTCTTCTTAGGAAGTGTCAATACGACCGGCATGCCTCCTTGGTTCTGGAGAGGGATTATGGGAAATATCACTCACCTGATCCTTACCAGAACTGTAAGCAAGGCATAGCAGTTAAGATGGTCATTGGCCTGAAAGACAGTACGGGTTCCCGGATAAAGTCCAGATCAGGGATCTTGGAGATCTTTGGGTCGTATTATGCAGACCTCCTGGGAAGAAAGGACCTTAGCCGGGACAGGATGGAAACCTTTCTGGATTCTACTCCAAGATTGGGAAATGGTGCATTGCTTTTGATGAATTTGACAGAACCAATTTCAGCGGATGAGGTAGTTCATGCTATAGACAAGCTGGCTACCAAAAAATCGCCTGGGCCAGATGGATTGACAGCTGAATTTTACAAGTGTTTTAAGTCCTTTCTGGCTCCCTTTTTAGCGGAGGTTTTTAACAGCTGTCTAGAAGAGGGTTCGCTCCCTCCCTCCATGAGGCAATCCATTTTGATTCTTCTGTCAAAAGGTAAAGACCCCTCAATGATTGAGAACTGGCGCCCCATCAGTCTTCTCAATGTTGATAGAAAGATCTTGGCAAAGATTCTTTTTTGGCGCTTGTCGTCAGTAGCAGGCGATTTGTTGTCCAGCCATCAGCACTGTTCGGTTCCAAGGTAGAAGTACCTTTTCAGCGGTTTTGGCTATCCGGGAGGCTTTGGAACGATGCCGGGCTGCTGGATGGAGAAAGTACTTGCTGGCATTGGATCAGGCAAAAGCTTTTGATCGAGTGAATCATGAATATCTGTGGTTGCTACTTGGTAGATACAGCCTGCAGGGGAGGTTTATAGATTGGATGAAGACATTATATAGAGGGGCTGAGAGCTTCCCACTTGTTAAAGGTTGGGTTGGACGGCCTTTTGAGGTCAGCTCTGGTGTGCGCTAGGGATGTCCTTTGAGCCCCCTGCTATATGCTTTCGCAATCGACCCCTTTGTAAGAACGCTAGACGGCGCATCGTTGTGCGGGGTGCCTCTTGGCATTGCTGGTGTGCCGCCTTTGAAGGTCGTCGCCTATGCCTATGATGTGTCTGTTATTATCTCTGGGACTGAGGAGGCGCAGGAGGTGGTCTTTGTGATACAGCAATACACAGAGGCTTCTGGCTCTAAAGTCAACCATGAAAAGAGTGAAGTTTTCTGGGTGGGTGAGGAGGGTGAAAGCTTCAAACTTCCGGATGCCTTCCCAGAGCCCCAGCAGGAAATTTAAAGCTTTTTCGGCATAAAATTTGGTCCTGGTGACTATGATCATCGAAATTGGGAAAGCAGGTTGGTAGATGCCAATGCCAAAGTAGCAAGCTGGAAGAGATGGAGGCTTTCCTTGAGGGAGAGGGTTGACTTGATCAAAACTTACCTGATCCCCATCTTTTTATGTCAACTTCGTCTGTATCTTGCCGGTATCTCTCTATGCAAGGGTCTACAGCTGGTTTTTCCAGCTGTTATGGGGAAATAGGCTGAACCGGATCAAACGCAATGTAACTTACCTGTCCAGGCGGGAGGGTGGCCTAGGAATGGTTAACCAGATAGTTTTCTTTTCTTTGCTCTTTTTAAAGTATAATCTTGGTAATATGTTAGCAGAGACCCCGCCGGGATGGGTGGGTATTTTTCAGTCTTGGTTTAGGCCTTTTCTGCATTGCTGGGAAGATGGCGGCCCAGTGAAAAGTCTGAGAGTCCGACATGGCAAGCTCCCGGCTTATGTTGCCCCGTGTCTGAAAATACTTCGGCCGTGGCAGGTGACAGTGGAGGATATCAGGTCCCTTCCCAGGAAGCTTCTGGGGGAGAGGATTTTGGCTTCTGCTTTCAGTGTGTCACTGACCTTAAAGGATTGCCCAGGCTCCATAATGAGGGAGGGGTTGCATTTAATTAACTTGGAGAGAATCCCTTTGAAGTTTAGGGATCAAGCCTGGCTCGCTTTCCATGGAAGGCTCTATGTGAGAGGGAACCTGCAGCACCGCCCTGTGGATGATCGGGATTGTCCTAGAGCAGAGTGTGTTGGTAAAGTGGAGTCTATGGACCACTTTCTGCTCCAGTGTCCCTTTAATATAGAGGTGTATAAAAGGGTGGGGAGGGTTCTGAGCATCCCCTTTCTCTATCGCATGAGTTATGCAGAGTGGGTGTACGGGGCATTCCCAGCTCACTGGGACTTTGATTTGGATACACTTTTTT